TATATATAACCGAGTACATATCTATGCAGATCAGCAGTCCCAGTACTTTTGAAGTTCGTGCTGCTTTTAACTCTGGATTGTGTATGGAATATTCTGCCAACGAATACTTTCATTAGCTTGTGACCTACGGTATCAAGAGACACCGTGCCTGCAAATCGTTGACCAAGATTCGCGTGAACAAAATACGATAATCAAATAAGTGTTTAGTTTCTTACTTTGGTTCATAAAGCAAGAGGGATCGATCTATGAGGATATAAAAACAATGATGTTACTGGGAATCTTGTTTGTCATCCGATTACGATCTGGGTTGCTCGTGAATTTTGGTCTACGAAATATGTACAGACTGTATTCAAAGAATGCGTGGTGAATCTATCCTAGAGCAATTTATTGAATGATAGCTGACTGTTATTATTTAGTTCATTGGACGCAATCGAAATGGTCTCTTCCATTATATGGATAAAAGGACGGATTTTTCTCCTATACTTCTTACAGTTTGTTGCTTGTTGGCTCGTGTCAGACTCGGAGTTACCTAAGCGATTTTACCCGTCAATCCAAATCACAACTATTACGGTCATGTTTTCTCCCTTGATTTGACCGACTTAGATAGTTCACTAATCGTGTATCTGGAGTTCATCTGGGATGCATCTAAGTTTGTCGGTGTTGTATAGCGCTTCATTTTTGTTCATTGGATTATTTTGTGGTGGTAGCGAAAGTGAATCAAATTTTTTGAAAACACTGCTTTCTCGTCATCAGGTCGGATTTTCTATTCTAAATTCCTTATTTACTTGTTGCATTTCACAGTCAAATGCTGCAGTGTTTATTTTTTGCAGACGTGTAACTCCATTTAGGTCCTATCAGACAACCGCTTTATAACAATACTCAATTCAACGCATTGTTTGTTTGTTCACATTTGGAAGTTGGCTTCATAGGTGTGAAATCCAAAGGAAGCTTTATAGAACGATACAAATTGGTATCTCCTATACTATTCAATATTTTTAGGCTTTGTTGCACGGTTAAATGATACTTCCCTAAATCTGTATTATCCCCAGGCAGCCTTTTTATGGCCGCAGCCCCCTTTCTGAAAGTTGACTGTACATTTGTATATTCAATAAATAGAAAAAAGGAAGTAAAAAAACATTCAACTTCATACTTTTCGGGTAATAATCTTTTGACCAGGTTTGCGTAAGTCATAATACTTTTTCCAGGGTAGTTCTTTGTGAAAAGATGGCCTCTCGGGCGAAAATTCACCCTATGCTTAGATATATCCGATCGTCTGCAACCACTTACCTAGTGAAGCAATACATATTTATTTGAACTGACTATCTTTCAGACTTCACCTTCAGGCACAATCCTCAGTCTTTCCAGTCAACCATACCCTCCGAAGCAAGAACATGAATTGGTTANTGGTTGGCACAGTGGTAACACACGCCTTCCATGCCATGAGTCCGAAATTCAAATCCCGGACGGGATGGTGGATATGCACTACTGATGAACTCTAATAAGAGTGAAACTGGAGTCTAGTGCTTCTGAGTGTATAGTTGACTGGAAAAACTGAGGATTGTGTGTGAGGATGAAATTTGAAGGATAATCAGCCCACAAGTAACTGTAAGTTAAATGGGAATGATGCACATTTATTTACGGCAAACCACCCAAGTAGCCATTCTCCTATCCATAACCTGTCAAAGTGTTCGTTAGAATACGGCTCAGTAGATCTACAAGCTGTAGCTGCTAGCTCTATAATATATCTGCCTATCTTTTAACTTGTGTTCATTTAACTTCGGTAATTATTTAGCCTTCTTTTCAATTTGCTGTTTGCCTAATATTTTCCCCTGGTTGACCCTTTATGTTGAAGGCATCAAGCAGATCGTTACCATCTACCTCGTTTGGTTTATGTGAACAAAATGGATCGTGATACCGCGAATCTGGAACAATCGTTAGCTACCCTATCAGCACAATTGACCAGTACAACCCGATTTGTGGCTATCCATTGGCCCGTCTTTTCTGGACATTTGACTTCCACCAATCCAAACACCACCACCACTACCGGACATGGGGTCAAGTGTTCAACGCAAATAGAGAAGCGCAATCGCTTTGTGGGATTGGTGGACTTGACATCGATGAAATTCAGTGTGAGATATAATTAGTGTGTTTTCACAATCTTTTACACGGTTAACGCAGCAGTACTTTTGTGAGCAAATTTCTAAACAGTACGCAATTGGTACAAGAGTTCAAAAATATTTGTTATATTGTTTGCTTTCGCTTGTCCTCTTTGACTCACTTTCCATACGTAAATGACAATAATTTATCCATTGTTTGCTGTTTTTTTAACATTCTATTGTGACACCCACTCACTTTTTGAAGTGTTCGAATGGACTCACCCATATGTTTGGTAATAAGACGCGAATCGTCGTTCCTCTGTATTGTTTTAACTATACCCTAATTGTCTGTATGACTGGTACGGTTCTGTGTGGTCGTTTGTCTTGTCTCTGTTTTACTACTCACAGTTATGCACACTGAAACCGAAAATGACACTACCGAGCCCTGCCATCCAACTTTGGTGGTAGGTAACTTTGCTGTCGTTCGGTCCAATACGACACCTAATCTATCGGGGCCTTATGTGGTTCGCCACTCCAAGTCCCCGGGATTAGGCTACCGGTTTCCATCACTGAGCAGCAGGTCAGCGTGACTATGGGGTTTATCCCGTCTGCTGTTCATCACACGAAAGTGTGTGTAATAAAAAGTAAAAAAGCGTATTTTAGGAGGATGTTGATTAAGGGCTTAGTACTTGGTTCCAGTTAATTATCTAATTATGGCTCTTACGTGAGACTATTATCCTATGATTTTACTTCTAACTAATCTGTGGCTTAGTTCCGTAATACAACTTAAAATATCGAATTCTACCCTGACCAGATTTGTACCATATAAAATTTGAAAACTGTTGGTAACGAATTCCTTTGCTATTCGGAGTGCAAAAGTACGGGCGTATGATATATTTAATGGCGCTTGATTCTGTAGTGTTGCGGTGTTATTTAAAATGTACGGTCTTAGTGCTCTACTTTGGTATTTGTTTTCGACGACAATTATTGAAAGTCAGCTTGAATAATCCTTCCTCTTACCACATCCTCCTCGTCGTATGGGTTCTTGTCACCCACAAGCGCCTTTTATCATTTCTGTGATTCTTATTTCTTGTACAATCCAATATAAAACTATACTATTCTTCAACTGAGTCTCTATCCGCCTAAATATTTTTGATAGGGATTCGTCATTCATAGAGCAAAAGAAACTGAAATGATGAGCCCGCATGGTCGAGCCTAGCATATCACAAGCTAACTTGATTAGCAGTCAGCCGATCAGACTGTTCCACCTTTTTATTGTACGTATTTGTGTGATGAACAGCAGACAGCTTGGATCCCATCGTCGCGAAAACCTGCTGTTCAGTGATGGAAACCGGTAACCCAGGCCTCATGATTTGGAGTGACGAACCACTTAAGGCAGCGATGGGTTAGGTGTGGTATTTAAGTGGACGACAGCAAAGCTGTCCACCACCAAAGTTGGATGGCGGTGGCGGGGTTCGAACCTCGGACCATAAGGTTCGAAGCACACCGGTAACAGCAACTAAACCAATGCATCACTACCAACTTGTCTTTAAACGGTCGAACTTAACTCTTCTTTGCAGCCTTATTGTGAATACCGAGTGCCGATCATCTTGGCACCAGCTTGTTCATGACTAAATTCATCAATAAGATCAACTACCCGTTTGTGGGTGCGGTTTTATTTCATGTATACCACATTCCGTTCTGACTTTGCGCAAAACCCTTCATTAATGTCGTTTGCTTATGATAATCCCTCTATCTTTCTCCTTGATTAGATGAGATTCGCACAATTTCATTACCCCCAGTCCACATTGACCGATTGGTATTCGTGCCACAGGCAGGTTTTTACGCGAATGCTTCGTTTCTCTCTCTTTCCCCCATGTATTCAAAACTGCGCTCAATCATTCAGGATTGGTCGAAGTGCACCTCACCGGACACTCCGTTTACCATACAAGATTTTCTCTCACACGAAAAACATCAGTCTACCAAATCGGCGTGTTCAGTATCCGAGTTGTCACCGGATAGCATACGAGCGGCGTTTGCTGCCCGAGTTAGTTTAATGGACAGTCTGGCACATGTGGATGAGGAATTCGCCGATCAATTTTTATCTGTTGACAACCCAGAAACTTTAATTCCAGCAGCTGTGGTTCAACAAGCCTTACGACGGGTAAGTGGTCAGATCTTTTGGCTCATTGGGATTCGGATTACGTTGCTTTTTGAATGTGATTGATTTCACCAATTCGTACTTTTGCTCGTAGGTTATATCACATTTCCACGAATCTACGAGGATTAGCATCAGGCGGAAGTGTGTATAAGAAGGGCTGGGATGTGAGAGATAGTAGGAGAGGGTAAGGTATTGGTTGCTCAATTTAGGGTCACAACGGCCAAGTTGTCCTCCTATAATCCCATGTGAGAACTTCTCCACGGTAGTCGATTAATCGCTGACCCTCTGGGTTTATACTTGTTCAGCGGTGCTCAATAGCAATGGAGAAACCCACATGGTATGAGGGGACATATTAATGGCTTTTGATCGTGTTTGAAACTCAGATCTGCTGGTTAAACTGACGAGGTTTGAATCTCAGCCAGAAATGCCGTCATTCGCCTCATTTTTTTCCTACCAGAGCATCTCAGTTCTTTCTGTGTAAAACCGAATGATCTATGAGACTCGGTACTTCCCTCCGCTCTTCATCCTTTTTATCGATGATGTTTTCTTACCTAGTAACTTTTTGTACCTGCCTTCACCCGATGCACTACCTCACATTTTTCTCTACTTGATTACCTTCTAAATTCCACACTGGTATCAGTTGATAGTCTCTCAGAAGTGCCCTAAATTCTGATATTGGTTTGATATTTTTCGAGGACTCTAGCAAACGTGATCAACACGTGTAAGACCCTCTCAAACTTCAGCGTCTTTTTTCAGACTTCTTCCGCGCTACTTCTTAGAACTTTTCTCGTCTTTCTTGCTTTCCTATTGACTTTAAATCTGTTTGTTTTCTTCCCGTACCATATGCAGAATGAGCTTCACTCTATCCCTTTCATCATAGAAAGTTAAAATTGGTCCGTCCTCGAAATTTCGCAATCATTGCCATCTGTTTCCCTTTCTCTCTTCGTGATCGGGATTAGTGTATAATCACACAGTCTATCTCGGAGCAAGTACTCATTACCGGATATTTGATTCTCTGTCTTTATCATGTCTCCATTTCTCTAGTTTCTGTTTAAATTAACTTGTTTATTGGGTACCTATCCACTTACTGTTCGTCCTCGTTTTTGTGCCCAATTCGTCAGTCAGCTGTACCTTGTGGTTGTCCTCAGTTTTTATAATTGCGTAAGAAGTGGCACTGATGATGTTACCTTGGCTGGTGATGAAACGTTCACAAGCAAATTGCCAAGCTCAGCGAACAGGCGACATAGAATTCAGTTCACCCGAGCTACGAGAACCGTTTTTCAGTACTTTGCCCACACGCTGTTCTGTTCGAGATCTTACCTGATTCACGCTAAGTTCCCGACAACTTATTTTCCAAGTTGGTGAAAAATTACACCACACACGAAACGAATGCTAACACTTTAGATAACAGAAATTGAAACGAACGGAAAGTGGACGGTGATATAATGTTTGTGTTTGTTTCCAAGGAAACGTTATTGTCGTGGAACGATGTTATGCTCGGTAGTGCCAGCCAAAATAGGACGTTGGATTAAGCAACCTGTAACCAAACCTTCGATGAAAGATCTAAGCAACAACATAGTGTAGAGGTGCTTTGAAATCGATTGGAGACCAATGTCTCATCTGTGTGATCATACGCATTTCGAACAGAACCTACACGCCTAGTACCTAATGCACCATCACCCAGTTGAACCGGTTATCCTAGACCCAATAACCACTTGTGACTCGTCCGTTGAATTATAATCCGAAAACTTGGCTTCTGACCTCGGGGAAAACGCCCCTACTACGAGAAGGCTGAGGGTAGGAATTTATCAGCTGAGGCTTTGGTTGCAAGTCATCCCGAGTCGTTTTGATAGGAGTCCGGAGCGGTGTAATCCGTGTACGGAAACACCCCCACCCGACCATGCTAATGGGTTTGTGAACAATTTCGTTTAAAATTATCATCCAACATATACTGAGAGGCGAATAGAATCTATGAGTTGTTTGTCGTAATAAACTGGTAAATCCTTTTTGGTCTTTTTGCTCTTATACAATTTTTTTCTGTTTATAATCCAATATGCCAGCACACACTAATCTTCACATACTAAACTCTCCACTGCAAGGCCACTATCTCCGGTCACATTGTCCCCGTCTTGGTAGGCAGTAGTCGACAGAGTATCGGTGTCCAACCGCTGTTGGACAGCATAGTGGACTATTTGCCCGACCCATCTGAACGTGGAATGCCCGGTCCTGTGCAACAAGCGATGCGTTGTCTGCGTTCTCGGTCAATGGGCGAGTCAAACGAGTCAGTATCTAACAGAAAAACACGAACACTGGCATCACTGAGTACAGGACCAGTAATGTTGGTTTTCAAGGTCTTTTTCGATGCACACCTCGGCCCGTTGAGCTTGGTTCGGATTTATTCAGGTATTGTGCATTCCGGAGCCGCGGTCACCAATTGGTCACAACGAATCACCAGCCAGACCATTGAAAAGGTGAGACGAAATACAGCTGTTGGTTCGATTGCGATATTTTTCAGCCATTTGTGCTTTGAGATAACTTTTTCGTATACGTTATAACAGTAGATTTTGTTTTCATCTTGAGTCTACTTTAGAGATTCTCTCACACACTGTCGCTTTCTTGGAACGAGTGTTCTTTCTTTCTCTGTTTGGGCATTCAAAAAAGATGCTATCCGCTCCCCATGCACTAGGCATTTCGAATTTACTTTGCATTGCACTTTTCCTATCACTGGTAGTGTTTCCGGCTCTAGTTACACCGAAGCTCTGTTCCATGGTTCATTTTCCACCATACGGTTTATTCCTTTCGGTTTCTGTCTTTGCTGTCACCTCTATTTTTGTTTCAACTTGGTCGTATACTTTGATGGGGATATGATGCTTGCTTATCCCTTAACAATTTGCGTTACGTAACTATGTAACTTATGTCAGGTTTATGTTAGTTGAATATCCGTAAAATGGCAATCACTTTTCGTAAAATATTTATATGATAGATCTATGCTTCAAAGGGAATGCTGTTAAAAAAACGAATCCTTCTAAAAAGGTTTTCAATTCCACTGAAGATAAGCAGGAGGACTGTCAACAGAGTACTTGTGAACACTTGAAGTAAACGAGGCAATCACGCGAGCATGAAGGTCTCAACTACCATAAACTCTTGTCATATTCCGATAACAGAGTCAATGTATTTATTTGCTCTAAACCAGATAATCAAATGCAATCTTGTGTCACGGTCTGTGTGTCATTCCACTTCTCCGCGCGATTTTGTTTGTCCGTCATCGAAGCATACCACTCTTATTGGCTTTTTCACACACACACACCCCACCCCGATGGGGATTTACACATAACTCGTGTTTTCAACGAATGAGATTGAGTTATTGGCTTCTGTTGGTTCTTGTGGACCATCCACCTGTTTTGAGTTTGGTCTCTCTAATCTGGCTGTTACCTCAGAGTGAGACGAAGACAAACCGAAACAGACTTCTTTGTCCGAGTCACTCGGCAAAGTTAGTCGGATTGTGACAATATTAACGAATCTCGGACTGAAGTTCCCTGTTTTGACTCTGATTGGCAGAGTCCAGCGAGTATTGCGCCAACTAGATCATTAGCAATCCGATGACTGAATGACATTGGAATCCGTTGTGTTCTACCGGTTCTACTGTTACTTTTACATCAGTAATAGAACTTCGCCGTATTCGTTTTCTAGTAGGGCCATCTTGTTTACATATCAAATACCAGTGTTATGAAGCCCCGTTCAGAAGTCTTATACAGAGAACGTCTTCATTTTGCTCGTTGACGCATCGCATGGATATTTTTTTATTTTTCATTACATCCTTATGCCAATTCACCGTCGTCTTGATTCCGTTCGCATTTGTTTCACTTCTTTTGGTGACGATAAATGTGCTGTATCTCTTCGGTTCATAGATTCACTCGGTGTTTCAACTGACCGGCGATCATCGTGAAGTGATCGAGCGAGCTGGACCGGGCAGTATTGTCGCATTGGCTGGTTTACAATCGACGCGCAGCGGTGATCTGCTCGGTCCGAAACTTCCATCAGGCAGTTCCAGTGCAGATGATGATGAAGAGTGGTTGGCCGAGGCGGACACCGAAACGGCATTTACCACTTCACATATACGCGAACCGGTTGTTTACGCGGCCATAGAACCGGCCAGTCTGTCTACTGTACGCAATTTGGAACATGCGTTGACCTGCATGCAACGCGAGGATCCCAGTTTTACTGTACGTTTAAGTGGTTTATTGTATTCTGATCTGTCAAATTTTTTGCATCTTTTGAAGCTTAAGTGTGCTGTTGAATTTGAGCTATTTCCCATGAAACTTTACACGTACTACTCTTACTGCGTATATCAAATTTCAGTTTGTTTTCACATGACCTCACGCATTGATTTCAAACGTACATGACTTAGAACTGCCTGTCAGATAAAGAAATTTTATTCATCAATAACCTTTTGTCACTCCCTTCCAACCGATTGCTTAGTTTGCATACTTGAAATAAAAGACTGAATAATGCCAGTAATAATAGCAGTTTTACAATTCTTTTTTTGAATGATCATCTTTAAACCTGATTTGTGCACCTAATCTAATTGACCATACACTTAAGAAGCAGCAGACCGAAGTTCCGTTTTCGTTGAAGTTCATCTTTGATGTTTATTTACTTGCCCATCCAGAAGAACGAACCAAAGTGCACTTTGCTATTTGCATATACTTGCTAATTGGTCTTCCTCCAGTCGAGCACATCTGCTTTCATATCTGAACGTGTTAATCATGCAATGTCCTTGTGCGGACGTTTCTTCCCTTGCAATCAGCAAGCTCTTGGCGTTTCACGGTTCTTCCACATGGGCATCTGAGATTCAGTCTGAGTTGAAAATCACTCTTTTTACTGCATGTTTTGCGTCAAAGGTCGTAGTCTGCTTTTTAATGTGCCAGTTATCTGGTACCCCGTCTCCTGTTTAACCTATTATGGTGAGCTGGTTTTCTGAAGAGCACGGTAAGAAAGTAAGTGATCATTAGTGCCGACTAAATCATCATATTCACAACCCGAATTGTTTCATGAAATTCTTAGTACACATAATAGTGTTATCTCAGCAGCTTTTTGGTGATTTAGTATGTTTCCAACAGATATCAAAAATCAAATCAATTATGTGTCTTCCGGATGCGACTGAAATATTTGAGGTGAATTTTTTATGAAAGGAAATCATGCATAGAACTACTGCCTCCGTATTTTATCCGACCACTTCGAAGTTTCTTCATACAAACTTGATTCCATTATTCCGAACCTCAAATCTTGAAGTCTGTCGCGTTTTCATAACTACACCCTACCTTTGTTCTCCATCATTGGAGACTGCCATACACTTGACTGAAGGTGGTCAAGTGAATGAATTTCAGTATATGTTTTCTCTCTCAGAAATCTTCTCGTTTGCGGAATGGACATTGCTGAGCCGATGCGTAGTGTGAGATTATACAGATTGTCGATTACGGACTATGGTGTATTCAGTTATTTGTACACTGTTTTCTTGCATTTTGGCCACATTGAATCAGGCCCGTTTGGATTCAGACACCGGTCAGTGGGCTATCGGAGGGATGGGTGATCTTCACTTGGACGTTGTTATGGCTCGATTAAAACGTGAGTACAAAGTGGATGCGAACATGGGTCCGTTGCTTATCGCCTACAAAGAATGCCCGTCTCTCGCATCCGGTGAGGAAGAAAGGGCGACGACATCGGTTTGTGGTGTTGGACACTCTTCGGGATTGGTTTTCGGTCAGGAAAAGGTTTTTCTCATCGAAGTTGTTTTGGAGGCTTCTGGACAGAAAGCACCTCAAGTAAGTTTTAGTTTCAACCAAACTGCGCTGTAGGTAATACATACATTTTAGTTTATCCTTTAGTTTGGATTGCTGATGGTGGAAATCCGACACCGGAGCACAAGGGTGAACTTAACTGAACTGATCAATTCACAACAATCTATCGAATCACTTTCTTCGAACCCATTTGAGTTCGTATTGTACTGTATTGTGCTACTGAACTTTGTAAACAGCCATATCTACAGTTCATTTAGAATAACGCTCGTCACTCGCTTTCAAAACAAATGAACGCATGTGGAAGAAAGATAAGCTAGGTTAATTCAATCTAAAAGGTTCATCCGCAACTTAGTTGCCATCGTGTCTTTGCCAATGAGAATAGTGGGCGAATATGGAACAGGTTTTTTATAAACGCTAATTCCTGCAGAAACGAGTCGGAAGCTCGAACTAGTTGAAAGATACTAACGACATAGGTTGGAATAAAAAGGATGTGTGTGATCAGTAAAGATTTTGTAAATAAAATGTTCACAACAGTCAATATGTTGGTGGCACAGTTTGATTACAACAGAGCCCGTAGGAAGGTTGCCGGTAATATGATTTTCCTACAAGTTCGACGCAACTTCGTTTCTACAGATAAGAGGAGATGAAAATCGCGGTTGAAATCAAGCGGTTGAAGTAAATTTCACTGT